CCCCATACACCCCATACCCCCCTATACCCACCTTGCCGCAGCCGGGCACCTCCACCCCATCCACAGGCTGTGGGATCTCGATGCTCTTCACCAGCCCGTACTTACCCCATACACCCCATGTACCCCATACACCCCATTACCCCCCCATACCCACCTTGCCGCAGCCGGGCACCTCCACCCCATCCACGGGCCGGGGGATCTCGATGCTCTTCACCAGCCCGTACTTACCCCATACACCCCATACACCCCATACCCCATACACCCCATACACCCCATATCCCCACCTTGCCGCAGCCGGGCACCTCCACGCCGTCCACGGGCCGGGGGATCTCGATGCTCTTCACCAGCCCGTACTTACCCCATACACCCCATGTACCCCATACACCCCATATCCCCCTATACCCACCTTGCCGCAGCCGGGCACCTCCACGCCGTCCACGGGCCGGGGGATCTCGATGCTCTTCACCAGCCCGTACTTACCCCATACACCCCATACCCCATGTACCCCATACACCCCATGTACCCCTATACCCATGTACCCCATGTACCCACCTTGCCGCAGCCGGGCACCTCCACGCCGTCCACGGGCCGGGGGATCTCGATGCTCTTCACCAGCCCGTACTTACCCCATACACCCCATACCCCATGTACCCCTATACCCATGTACCCCATGTACCCACCTTGCCGCAGCCGGGCACCTCCACGCCGTCCACGGGCCGGGGGATCTCGATGCTCTTCACCAGCCCGTACTTGCCGCACTCGTCCCGCACGTCCTCCACGATCTCGTCGTACTCCTCGTCGTCCAGCAGCTCCTCGGCCAGCACCATGTTCATGAGGCACAGCACCTCCGTGGGGTGCCCCCCGAGCTGCACCTGCGAGCTCAGCAGCCCGGGCACCTGCAGCGTCACCGGGGTCTGGTTTATGGTGCTCTGGGGAGGGAGGGGGATTGGGGGGTGGGGGTGGGGGGGGACACACAAACAGTGAGGGGAAAGGGGGGGACCACCCCCCTCCACCCCCCGAGAAGGGGGAGGTACCCCCCTGATGCATTGAGGTGCCCCATAGGCAACAGTGCACCCCCATAGGCAACAGTGGACCCCCATAGAAAACAATGGACCCCTATAGGCACCAATGCACCCCCATAGGCAACAATGGACCCCCATAGAAAACAATGGACCCCTATAGACACTGCTGCGCCCCATAGACAACAATGGACCCCCATAGAAAACAATGGACCCCTATGGACACTGCTGCGCCCCATAGACACCAATGGACCCCCATAGAAAACAATGGACCCCTATAGACACTGCTGCGCCCCATAGGCAACAATGGACCCCCATAGAAAACAATGGACCCCTATAGACACTGCTGCGCCCCATAGACAACAATGGACCCCCATAGAAAACAATGGACCCCCATAGACACTGCTGCGCCCCATAGACAACAATGGACCCCCATAGAAAACAATGGACCCCTATAGACACTGCTGCGCCCCATAGACAACAATGGACCCCCAAAAACACTGCTGCACCCCATAGACACTGCTGTGCCCCATAGACAACAATGGACCCCTACAGACACTGCTGCACCCCATAGACACTGCTGTGCCCCATAGACAACAATGGACCCCTACAGACACTGCTGCACCCCATAGACACTAATGGACCCAAATAGAAAACAATGCACCCCTATAGACACTGCTGCACCCCACAGACAACAAAGGACCCCCATAGAAAACAATGGGCCCCCATAGACACTGCTGCGCCCTATAGACAACAATGGACCCCCATAGAAAACAATGGACCCCTATAGACACTGCTGCACCCCATAGACAACAATGGACCCCCATAAAAAACAATGGACCCCTATAGACACTGCTGCGCCCCATAGACAACAAAGGACCCCCATAGAAAACAATGGGCCCCTATAGACACTGCTGCGCCCCATAGACAACAATAGACCCCCATAGAAAACAATGGACCCCTATGGACACTGCTGCGCCCCATAGACACCAATGGACCCCCATAGACACTGCTGTGCCCCATAGGCAACAATGGACCCCCATAGACACCAATGCACCCCCATAGACAACAATGCACCCCCATAGGCACTGCTGCGCCCCATAGACAACAATGGACCCCCATAGAAAACAATGGACCCCTATGGACACTGCTGCGCCCCATAGACACCAATGGACCCCCATAGACACTGCTGTGCCCCATAGGCAACAATGGACCCCCATAGACACCAATGCACCCCCATAGACAACAATGCACCCCCATAGGCACTGCTGCGCCCCATAGACAACAATGGACCTCCATAGAAAACGATGCACCCCTATAGACACTGCTGCGTCCCATAGAAAACAATGGACCCCCATAGAAAACAAAGGACCCCTATAGACACTGCTGCGCCCCATAGGCAACAATGGACCCCCATAGACACCAATGTACCCCCATAAACAACAATGGACCCCTATAGACACTGCTGCACCCCACAGACAACAATGGACCCCCATAGACACTGCTGCGCCCCATAGACAACAATGAACGCCCATACACACCACTGCACCCCATACACACTACGGCACCCCATAGACACTGCTGCACCCCATAGACACCAATGCACTGCTAGGACTGGCTGCGCCCCATACACACCACAGCACCCCCATACACAGGAATGGATCCCATAGATACCAGTGCACCCCATGGACACCAATGCACCCCCTATACATCAATGTAACCCCCAAAGACACCAACAGACCCCCATAGACACCAATGCAGCCTCCTGTGCTGCCTGGCCCCAAGGGGGTAGGGACACACCAGAGTGTACCCAAACACCAGTAAATGGGACCCAAACCCCATTACATGGGACCCAATAGCACCCAAACCCTGCTCAGTCAGACCCAAACCCTATTAAATAGGACCCAATAGCCCCCAAACCCAATTAAATAGGACCCAAGAGCACCCAACCCCTATTATAGAACCCAATAGCACCCAAACCCTGCTCAATCAGACCCAAACCCTATTAAATAGGACCCAATAGCACCCAAACCCTGTTCAATCAGACCCAAACCCTATTAAATAGGACCCAATAGCACCCAAACCCTGTTCAATCACACCCAAACCCTATTAAATAGGACCCAATAGCACCCAAACCCTGTTCAATCAGACCCAAACCCTATTACAAGACCCAATAGCATCCAAACCCTATTAAATAGGGCCCGATACCACCCAAACCCTAATGAATAGGACGCAATAGCACCTAAACACTATTATAGAACCCAATAGCAGCCAAACCCTATTACAGGACCCAACAGCACCCAAACCCTATTATAGAACCCAATAGCACCCAAACCCTGTTCAATCAGACCCAAACCCTATTAAACAGGACCCAATAGCACCCAAACCCTGTTCAATCACATCCAAACCCTATTATAGGACCCAACAGCACCCAACCTCTATTATAGGACCCAATAGCACCCAAACCCAATTAAATAGGACCCAATAGCACCCAAACCCTATTATAGAACCCAATAGCACCCAAACCCAATTAAATAGGACCCAAGAGCACCCAACCCCTATTATAGAACCCAATAGCACCCAAACCCAATTAAATAGGACCCAATAGCACCCAACCCCTATTATAGAACCCAATAGCACCCAAACCCAATTAAATAGGACCCAAGAGCACCCAACCCCTATTATAGAACCCAATAGCACCGAAACCCTGTTCAATCAGACCCAAACCCTATTAAATAGGACCCAATAGCACCCAAACCCTGTTCAATCAGATCCAAACCCTATTATAGCACCTAACAGCACCCAAACCCAATTAAATAGGACCCAACAGCACCCAAACCCTATTAAACAAGACCAAATCCCACCCATATCCCGTTAATGTGTCCCTAATGGCATCACTCCCCCCCCCCCCATCCATAGGGATCTATGGACAAGGCCCCCCCATTCCCACCAATACCAGGAATACCCCCCCACCCTAAATCCCCAATTCCACCCCCAAACCAGGACCTGGGTACCCCCAAACCCTATAGCACACCCCCCCCCCTCCCATCTAATAGGATCCCGAACAAGAGACCCCCCCCCAAAAACAGGGCCCTCTGACACCCCCACAGTGCCCCTCCATAAAGGGGGGTCACCCCAAAGTGCCCCCACCCCATAAAGGGGGGTGACCCCAAGAGGGCCCCCCCACTCACCAGGGTGGCGTTCTTGGCCCCCACACTGGCCCTTTGCACCAGCAGCTTCTTGTCCCCCAACTGCATCCCATTGAGCCCCGCGATGGCCTGGGGGGGGGGGCACAGAAAGGGGGGGTCACCAACACCATTGGAGGGGGGTTTGGGGTCGCCATGGGGGGGGTTGAGATCCCTATGGGTGTTTTTCGGGTCCCCAGGGTGGGTTTGGGGTCCCCCAACTGCATCCCATTGAACCCCACGATGGCCGGGGGGGGGGGCACAGAAAGAGGGGGTCACCAACACCATTGGAAGGGGGTTTGGGATCCCCATGGGGGGATTTGGGATCTCTGTGAGTGTTTTGGGGGCTCTAATAGGGGTTTTGGGGGTCCCCATGGGGAGGTTTGGGGTCCCAAGGGGGGTCTGGGGTCTATTGGGGTCCCCAATGGGTGGTTTTGGGGTCCCCACGGGAGGGTTTGGGGTCCCAAGGGGGGTTTTGGGGTCCCCAATGGGTGGTTTCAGCATCCCCTATGGGTGGCTTTGAGATCCCCATTGGGGGGGTTGGGATCTGAAAGGGGGGCGGGGGTTTGGGGTCCCCAATGGGAGGTTTCAGGGTTCCAAGGGGTGTCTTGGGGACCCCAAAGGGTGTTTTGGGGTGCCCAATGGGGGGGTTTGGAGTCCCAATGGGGATTCGGGGCTCCTAAGGGGGGTTTCGGGGTCCCCATGGGGAGGTTTTGGGTCCCAAAGGGGGTTTTGGGGTCCCCAATGGGTGTTTTGGGGTCCCAAGGGGGTTTTGGGGTCCCAAATGGGTGTTTTTGGGGTCCCCATGGGAGAGTTTGGGGTCCCAAGGGGGTTTTGGGGTCCCCAATGGGTGGGTTTGGGTTCCCCAACTGCATCCCATTGAGGCTCGCGATGGCCTGGGGGGGTCGGCACAGAAAGGGGGGGTCACCAACACCATTAGAGGGGGGTTTGGGGGGTCCCCATGGGGGGATTTGGGGTCCCTATAAGTGTTTTGGGGGTCCCCATGGGGAGGTTTGGGGTCTCAAGGGGGGTTCTAGGGTCCCCAATAGGTGTTTTTCGGGTCCCCAATGGGTGGCTTTGGGGTCCCTATGGGTGTTTTGGGGGCTCTAAGGGGTGTTTTTGCGGTCCCCATGGGGGGTGGTTGGGGTCCCCAGTAGGTGTTTTTGGGGTCCCAAGGGGTGTCTTGGGGACCCCAATGGGTGTTTTGGTGTGCCCAATGGGGGGGGGTTGGAGTCCCAATGGGGATTCGGGGGTCCTAAGGGGGGTTTTGGGGTCCCCAATGGGTGGGTTTGGGGTTCCTATGGGTGTTTTGGGGGCTCTAATGGGTGTTTTTGGGGTCTCAATGGGGAGGTTTGGAGTCCCAAGGGGGGTTTTGGGGTCCCCAATGGGTTTTTTTGGGGTCCCCACGGGGGGGTTGGGGTCCCCACTGGGTGTTTTTGGGTTCCCTATGGGTGTTTGGGGGGGCTCTAATGGGTGGTTTTGGGGTCCCAGGTGGGGTTTTGGGGTGTTTCACAGTGTCCTTGAGGTGTTTGGGGGTTTTGGGGTGGTTTTGGGGTGTTCTGGGGTGTTTGTGATTTGTCTGGCGGAGTTTCAGGGAGTTCTGCAGCGCTTTTGGGGCCGTTTCAGTGGGTTTGGGGTTTCTTGAGGTGTTTCTGGGTATTTTGGGTTGGGTTTGGGGTGTTCATGAGGTGATCTGGGGCTGTTTTGGGGGTTTTGGGGTGCTTTTTTGGAGGCGTTTTAAGGCATTTTGGGTTGGGTTTGGGGTGTTCTGGGGCTATTTCGGGGTTGAGGTGTTTTGGGGTTCTCTTGAGGTGCTTTAGGGTGTTTTGGGTTGGTTTTGGGGTGTTCTTGAGGTGTTTCGGGTTGTTTTTGGGGTGTTCTGGGGTGTTTCTGAGGTGTTTTGGGGTTTTCTTGAGGTGTTTTAGGGTGTTTTGAGTTGGGTTTTGGGTGTTCTGGGGCTGTTCCAGGTGTTTGGGGGTTGCTTTGGATGGTTTAGGTTTCCTCAAGGTGTTTTAGGGTGTTTTGGGTTGGTTTTGGGGTGTTCTAGGGTGTTTGTGAGGTGTTTTGGGGTTTTCTTGAGGTGTTCTGGGGTATTTTGGGGCGGTTTTGAGGTGTTTTGGGGTCTCTGTGATGTGTTTCGGGGTGGTTTGGGGTGTTTGTGAGGTCCTTTGGGTTGGTTTTGGGGTGTTTGTGAGGTGTTTTGGGTTGGTTTCGGGGTGGTTTTGTGGTGTTCATGAGGTGTTTTGGGGTGTTTCGGGCTGTTTCGGTGTGGTTTGGGGTGTTTGTGAGGTGTTTCAAGGTGGTCTAGGTTGGTTTCAGGGGGGTTTTGGGGTGTTCGTGAGGTGTTTTGGGGTGTTTCGGGCTGTTTCGATGTGTTTTGGGGTGTTTGTGAGATGTTTCAGGGTGGTTTGGAGGTGTTTTGGGGTGTTTGTGATGCGTGTTGGGCTGTTTTGGGGCTGGTTTGAGGTGTTTCGGGGTGTTTGTGAGGTGTTTTAGGGTGTTTCACGGTGGTTTTGGGGTGTTCTAGGTTGGTTTCGGGCTGTTTTGCGGTGTTTAGGTTGGTTTCAGGCTGTTTTGGGGTCTTTTAAGTCGTTTTCGGGCTGTTGTAGGTTGGTTTGGGGCCGTTTTGGGGTGTTTTGGGTTGGTTTCAGGCCTTTTGGGGTGTTTTAGGTTGGTTTGAGGCTGTTTTGGGTTGGTTTGAGGCTGTTTTGGGTTGGTTTGAGGCTGTTTTGGGGTGTTTTGGGTTGGTTTCGGGCTGTTTTGGGTTGGTTTGGGGCTGTTTTGGGGTGTTTTGGGTTGGTTTCGGGCTGTTTTGGGTTGGTTTGGGGCTGTTTTGGGGTGTTTTGGGTTGGTTTGGGGCTGTTTTGGGTTGGTTTGGGGCTGTTTTGGGTTGGTTTGGGGCTGTTTTGGGGTGTTTTGGGTTGGTTTCGGGCTGTTTTGGGTTGGTTTCGGGCTGTTTTGGGTTGGTTTGGGGCTGTTTTGGGGTGTTTTGGGTTGGTTTCGGGCTGTTTTGGGTTGGTTTCGGGCTGTTTTGGGTTGGTTTGGGGCTGTTTTGGGGTGTTTTGGGTTGGTTTCGGGCTGTTTTGGGTTGGTTTCGGGCTGTTTTGGGTTGGTTTGGGGCTGTTTTGGGGTGTTTTGGGTTGGTTTCGGGCTGTTTTGGGTTGGTTTCGGGCTGTTTTGGGTTGGTTTGGGGCTGTTTTGGGGTGTTTTGGGTTGGTTTCGGGCTGTTTTGGGTTGGTTTCGGGCTGTTTTGGGTTGGTTTGGGGCTGTTTTGGGGTGTTTTGGGTTGGTTTCGGGCTGTTTTGGGTTGGTTTCGGGCTGTTTTGGGTTGGTTTGGGGCTGTTTTGGGGTGTTTTGGGTTGGTTTCGGGCTGTTTTGGGTTGGTTTCGGGCTGTTTTGGGTTGGTTTGGGGCTGTTTTGGGGTGTTTTGGGTTGGTTTCGGGCTGTTTTGGGTTGGTTTCGGGCTGTTTTGGGTTGGTTTGGGTTGGTTTCGGGCTGTTTTGGGTTGGTTTGGGGCTGTTTTGGGTTGGTTTGGGGCTGTTTTGGGGTGTTTTGGGTTGGTTTCGTGCTGTTTTGGGTTGGTTTCGGGCTGTTTTGGGGTGTTTTGGGGTGTTTTGGGGTGTTTCGGGGGTACCTGGTCGGTGACGTTGATGTCCACGTACTCGCAGAACGCGTACCCCTTGGAGAGCCCGGTGGCGCTGTCCTTGACCAGGTTAAAGGCTTTGAGGGGCCCGAAGGACGTCAGCAGCTCCTTCACCTGGGGGGGGGACACCCCAAAACCATTGAGACCCCCCCTTGGCACCAAGGAACCCCCCCAATGCACCCCAACCATCACCATCGCCACCCATTCCCACCCCAGCCCATGGGGACCCCAAGGTGGGGGGTGGGATTTGGGGGGTGCCCCCTTTTTTGGGGTGCTGGGGGGTCCCCCCCATTTTTGGGGTGCTGGGGGGGGTCCCCCTTACCTGGTCATCATTCAGGTAATTGGGGAGGCCCCCGATGAAGAGCTTGTGAGCTGAGTCGGGGACCACAGTGGAGACAACGCCTGCATTGGGGGGGGACAGGGGTGAGAATGGGGTGTTTGGGGTGGGTTTGGGGTGTTTCAGGGTTGGTTTTGGGTATGTGGGGGTGGGTTTGGGTGTTTCAGGGATGTTTTGGGGTATTTGGGGGTGAGTTTGGGTGTTTCAGGGTTGTTTTCGGGTGGATTTGGGTGTTTCAGGGATGTTTTGGAGTATTTGGGGGTGGTTTGGCGGTATTTGGGGGTGGTTTTGGGTGTTTCAGGGTGGTTTTGGGGTATTTGGGTGTGGGTTTGGGCGTTTCAGGGTGGTTTTGGGGGTGATTTTTGGTGTTTTCTGGGCATTTCAAAGTGGTTTTGGGGCGTTTCAGGGCGTTTTTCAGTGTTTTGGTGCTTTTCAGGGTGGTTTCCGGGGCTTTTTTCAGTGTTTTCAGGGTATTTTGGGGCATTCCAGGGTTGGTTTCGGGGCGTTTCAGGGTGTTTTTCAGTGTTTTGGGGGCATTTCAGAGTGGTTTTCAAGGCGGTTTTCGGTGCTTTTGGGGTGTTTTTGGGCGTTTGAGGGTGGGTTTGGGGCATTTTTCGGTGGTTTTGGGGCATTTCAGGGTGGTTTTCAAGCCATTTTTCAGTGCTTTTAGGGTGTTTTGGGGCATTTCAGGGTGGTTTTGGGGCGTTTCTCCTTGTTTTCAGGGGTTTCTGGGGCGTTTCAGGGTGGTTTTGGGGGTGTTTTTTGGTGTTTCCAGGGCATTTTTCGGTGTTTTGAGGCATTTCAGGGTGGTTTTGGGGGCGTTTTGTGGCATGTCAGGGTGTTTTTGGGGGCATTTCAGAGTGTTTTCAGGATGTTTTGTGGCGTTTCAGGGTGAGTTTGGCAGTGTTTCAGGGCGTTTTTTGGGTGTTTCATGGTGTTTTGGGGGGCTTTTTTTTTGGTGTTTTCAGGGTGTTTTGGGTTTTTTTTGGTTTTGGGGCGTTTCAGGGCGTTTTTCAGTGGTTTTGGGGTGTTTTGGAGAGTTTCAGGGTGGTTTTGGGGGCATTCTTTGGAGTTTTCAGGGTATTTTGGGGTGTTTCAGGGTGGTTTTGGGAGCGTTTTTCAGTGTTTTCAAGTGTTTTGGGGTGTTTGAGGGCGTTTTTCGTTGTTTTCGGGGCATTTTGTGGCGTTTCAGGGTGGTTTTGGGGCATTTCAGAGTGGTTTTGGGGTGTTTTGCCACACTTCAGGGTGGTTTGGGTGTGTTTTTTGGTGTTTTCAGGGCATTTTTCAGGCATTTCAGGGGGTTTTGGCGCATTTTTCGATGTTTTCAGGGCGTTTTGCCACATTTCAGGGTGGTTTTGGGGGCGTTGTTCAGTGTTTTCTGGCGTTTTGGGGTGCTTGAGGGTGTTTTTTGGTGTCTTTGGGGCATTTGGGGGTGTTTTAGGATGGTTTTGGGGTGTTTTGCAGCATTTCAGGGTGGTTTTGGTGCGTTTCAGAGTGGTTTTGGGGCGTTTTGCTGCATTCCAGGGTGGTTTCGGGGCGCTTTTTGGTGTTTTCAGGGCATTTTTCAGGTATTTCAGGGTGGTTTTGGGGTGTTTCAGAGTGGTTTTGGGGTGTTTTATGGTGTTTTCGGGGTGTTTGGGGGCATTTCAGGGTGGTTTTGGGGCATTTCAGAGCAATTTTGGGGTGTTTTATGGTGTTTTTGTGGTGTTTTGGGGCGTTTCAGAGTGGTTTTGGGGCGTTTTATGGTGTTTTGGGGGTGTTTGGGGGCGTTTCAGGGTGGTTTTGGGGTGTTTTATGGTGTTTTTGTGGTGTTTTGGGGTGTTTCAGGGTGGTTTTGGGGTGTTTTAGGGTGTTTTTGGGGTGTTTCAGGGTGGTTTTGGGGTGTTTCAGGGTGTTTTGGGGTGTTTTAGGGTGTTTTTGGGGTGTTTGGGGGCATTTCAGGGTGGTTTTGGGGCATTTCAGAGCAATTTTGGGGTGTTCATGGTGTTTTGGGGGTGTTTTGTGGCGTTTCAGGGTGGTTTTGGGGTGTTTTAGGGTGTTTTTGTGGTGTTTTGGGGCGTTTCAGGGTGGTTGTGGGGGCCCTCACCAGGCACATAGACCGAGGGGTTCTCGGACATCCCGGGCAGGGGTTGGTAATCGTGGGGGCGCCGGATCTTCAGCGACTGCCCTTGGAAGATGATGCCATCGAACGCCATGGCCTGCGTGGTCTCATCCACCGAGCGGAACTGCGGGGGGGGGGGGGGAAGAACCACAGTGAATGGGGGGGGGGGGGTCACCATATCGGGGGGGGGGGGGGGAATGGGGCCGGGGGTACCTCCAGGAAGGCGAAGTTCTTGTCCTGGTTGATCTGCACGGCCAGGACCGGGTTGCCGGGGGCCTGCGTGAGCCCCCCCAGGCGCATCTGGGCGTTGAAGAAGTCCATCATGGCCTCCTGCGGGGGGAAGGGTGGCAATGGGCGGCATGAAGGGAAACCCCGCGTCCTGACCCCCAAACACCCCCATTTCCACCCCCATTGAGCACCCCAGAACCCCCATTTACCCCTATGGGGTGACCCCATTTCCCCCCAAAACCCCCATTTCCCCCCATAAACCCATTTCCCCCTTTCCCTCTCATTTCCATCCCAAAAGCCCCATTCCCCCCAAAACGCCCATTTGCCCCATAAACTCCCATTTCCCCCCATAAATCCCATTTCCCCCCGAAACCCCTATTTCCCCCAACCCATTTTCCCCCATTTCCTTCCCATTTCGCCCGCAAAACTCCCATTCCCCCTCCAAAACCCCATTTCCCTCCCCCAAAACCCCCTTTTCCCCCCCAAAACCCCATTCCCCCCCCTTTCCCTCCCATTTCCCCCCAAAAACACCCATTTCTCCCAAAACCCCCATTTCCCCCCCAAACCCCATTTCCTTTATTTCCCCCATTCCCACTCCAAAACCCCCATTTTCCCCCTTTCCCTCTCATTTCCCCCCATAAAACCCCATTTCCCCCCCTTTAAATCCCATTTCCACCCTTTCCCTCCCATTCCCCCCATTCCCCCCCATTTCCCGTTCCCCCATTCCCCCCAAACCCCCTTTCCCCCCCTTTCTCTCCCATTTCCCCCCTTTCCCTCCCATTTCCCCCCAAAACCCCATTCTCCCCAAAACCCCAATTTCCCAAAACCCCAATTTCCCCCATTCCCCCCCCATTTCCCATTCCCCCATTCCCCCAAACCCCATTTCCCCCCCCCCCTTTTCCCCCCATTTCCCCCCCTTTCCCTCCCATTTTCCCCCCTTTTCCCACCCCCCTTTCCCTCCCATTTCCCCCCAAAACCCCATTCTCCCCAAAACCCCATTTCCCCCCATTCCCCCCCATTTCCCGTTCCCCCATTCCCCCCAAACCCCCTTTCCCCCCCTTTCTCTCCCATTTCCCCCCTTTCCCTCCCATTTCCCCCTTTCCCTCCCATTTCCCCCCAAAAACCCCATTTCCCCCATTTCCCCCCAAAACCCCCATTTCCCCCCAAAACCCCATTCTCCCCAAAACCCCAATTTCCCCCCATTCCCCCCCATTTCCTGTTCCCCCATTCCCCCCAAACCCCCTTTCCCCCCCTTTCTCTCCCATTTCCCCCCTTTCCCTCCCATTTCCCCCCAAAACCCCCATTTCCCCCCAAAACCCCATTCTCCCCAAAACCCCCATTTCCCCCCATTCCCCCCCATTTCCCCCCCATTCCCCCCAAACCCCCTTTCCCCCCCTTTCTCTCCCATTTCCCCCCGTAAACCCCCATTTCCCCCCAAAACCCCATTCTCCCCAAAACCCCAATTTCCCCCCATTCCCCGTTCCCCCATTCCCCCCAAACCCCCTTTCCCCCCCATTCCCCCCCATTTCCCCCCCATTCCCCCCCATTTCCCCCCCATTCCCCCCCCGTGTCCCCACCTCGGTGATGCCGAAGGGGATGTTGCCCACGTAGAGGCGCCGGGCCTGGCGCGTCATCTGGCTGCCAACCACGGGCACCGGCGTCGGGGTCACGGCCAACCCGTCCGGGGTCATGGTGGGCAGCAGCGCCGTGGCCGGGATCTGCCCCGCCGCTGCCAGGGGACACGGGGGGGTTACAATGGGGGGCAATGGGGGGCAATGGGGAGTCAATGGGGGGGCAATGGGGGTGAAGGGAGTCAATGGGGGGGCAATGGGGGAATTGGGGATAAATGGGGGGCAATGGGGGGCAATGGGGGGGCAATGGGGGGGCAATGGGGGGAGAGCAATGGGGGGTTAAAGGGGGGTTACAATGGGGGGGCAATGGGGGGTTAAAGGGGGGTTACAATGGGGGGGCAATGGGGGTTGCAATGGGGGGGCAATGGGGGGTGAAAGGGGGGTTACAAGGGGGGGGCAATGGGGAA